GTCCAGCCCGCCAGGCGCTGCCGGCAAGCTGCGCCCTGGACCCTCGCGCTTCCGGAAAGGGAGTGCCCACCCTCCCGCAGGGCCCGGTGGGCGCGGCGTGGGAAGTGCGCGGGACGGCGGCGGCGTGCGGTGGCACCGAGGGCGGGGACACCGAACCTACGGACGGGCAGCGCTGCACGTGCGCCAACCAGCGACCTGGAACGGGGTCACCGCTTGAAACTTGTTTTTAAAATGAAATGGGCACATTGTACTGTGGACTTTGCCTGTCCTTGGTTGGCACCATCATGCCCAGGCCCCGCAGACCTGGCACTGACGGCCAGCCGTCGAAGGTCTGTGCGGCAGAGTGAAAACTTGCCTTCGAACTGGACGTGGAGTCCCCGGGGGCTCGTTGCAGTCAAACCCCTCTCCTCACCAGTACTTGATGTGTCGTCAGGTTGCCTTGCCTCCGTTTCCCCATTTGTTCAGGAAAGTTGCTATACTCCCGAACTAGGAGCTCTGCTTTATTGGGACATTATGTGTCTCTGGGCCATGATCTTGGCCTCTGGGAACAGCCTGTGGGCCTTGTCTAGACTCGGACCCCTGCAGACAGCCCCGCGCCATCCCAGCCCGCAGCCGCCTCACTTAGCCTTCCACCCTTAGGACTTTCTCAGGCCTTGCCTGGCTCCGGAACCAACTCCCTGTGAACTAACGCTAGAGTGCCTTGGCTCTGGCTGTTTGGGGAGCAGAGTTTCTACATGAGTGTTTCTGCTTAGCTACGGCTTCATTTCACTAAATCTTTGAGTATGCCTGGAGATGGAGCCTCTGTTGCCCTGGTAACAGTGATGCACTCTAGTTTTCAAGGGCCACAAGACTAAACCCCACCTGGTGATGTTAGTAACCCATGGGCCAGTGTAGAAGTAGAGAAAAATGCTATACATCATTTTTTGGTTTATTTTTATTTTAAAAATAAAAGGAGGAAAACATTAACAGACAGACAACCTTTTACCAAATAGCAAAAGAACAGTACAGACAATACAGAGTTACAAACAAAGTGGTAGGAAATTAACAGTGTTTATTGTATTACATATGGATATCTTCAAAGTGGTTTCTCATGAAAACAAATAGAGACATGCAATATTGACCAGTCAAGGACTCATTAACAGTTTCTTTCAGCAAAGAAATAGAAGACAATAGATCAACTATGTTAACTATCCTGTATATACATACATACAAAATTTCTCCTTCTTTCTCTTCTCTTTTCCCACATCCCAGTTGCCCTTTACCCTTGAACGTTTTCCTATCATTTCACAATGTCTATCATACCTCTGAGTTTAAATTAACTCTTTCAGGTTTTACACTAGTGAGACAATGTGGTGCTTGCACATGCAGGTCTGATTTATTTCACTGTATGGTCTCTAGTTGTGACCATTTACCTGTAAAAGCCTCGAGTTTATCTTTCTTTATAGCTGAGTAATATTTCATTATATAAAAGTACCACAATTTTCTTATCTAATCCTCGGTGAATGGACATTTGGGTTGCTTCCACAATTTAGCAATTACAAATTGTGCTGCTATGAACACAGGTGCACATATATTGTTGTGATATGATGTTTTTAGATCTTCTGGGAAAATACCCAGGAGGGGAATAGCTGGGTTGAATGGAATCTCTAGACCTAGTTTTGTGAGGAATCTCCAAACTGATTTCCACAGCGGTTTCACCAGTCTGCATTCCCACCAGCAGTGGAGAAGAGTTCCTATTTCTCCACAGCCTCTCCGGCATTTGTTATTGGTTGATTTCTTACTGCTAGCCATTCTTACTGGGGTAAGGTGGAATCTCAATGTTGTTTTAATTTGCATTTCTTGATACACATCATTTTTTAAAATGCCTTGCAGGTGAAAGTTGTTGCTGTTGATGCAGAGATGAATATCTTCTATGAGGACAGTGTGAATTTTGACAGAGATCTTCCAGAATTTGGGTATGTGCCTAGTGTGCAGGGGTGTGTGTGGGACTCAAGGTTTTGTGGATCCCCAAACTGTTTATACTCACAGACCACACCGTTGTGGCTCCTCAAGCTGTAGGAGAGGTGGTCTTGTTAGCCCTCCGAGCATCTTTGCTTTTTCTGTACCTGGATGCTTTCTCCCCCTTCCTTCCCAACTCCATTCATTCATACATACTGCATTAAGTACCGTTTCAGATCTGCTCTGTTCTAGGTGTTGTGTGGGGTACTAGAATTCAGTGACTGTATCAGTCGATTTTCTGTTGCTCATGACAATAGCATAGGCCAGTAATAGCGAACCTCTTAGAGCTTTCAATGATCCCTCTGTGGCATGAGTGCCTTAGGTTTGCCACCACTACCATGGAGTCTTCATGTTATGGAAAACAGACCAAACGTGCGAAGAAATGGTACTGAGAAGGTTTAGGAGGCAGTTTATTACACCGATGGGCCTGACTGGGGTCTCTCCCAAAGAGTTAAGCACCCCCACCCCCACCCCCGTATCAGGTTCTGGGACTTTTATAGAGAGAACAAGCACTGAAGTACAAAGGCAGATTTGGCACATTGTGATTGGAGGGTTGGCTGACATCATGGGTTGCTAAGGGAGTTTAAACATTGCAAGTTACATTGCAAGGCCATCAGTTAAACAAGCATGGTTTACACAAAGGAAGAAATATCCCTTTATCAGGCTTTTTTAGACCTGTCCTTGGGTTTTGCCGGGCTTTATTTAAAATTTTAATTTCCCTTCCATTGTCTCAGTTACTTTTCTCTCATTGCTGAGACAAAATACCCAACCCCCAAAATTAAGGAAGGAAAGGTTTATTTAGTTCACAGTTTGTGGAGGTTTCAGTCCATACTCGGCTGGCTCCAAGGCAGGGTGGCACATGGCAGGGGCAACAGTTCATGGCGGCATAAGACAGCAAAAGCAACAAGAGCAAAAAAGGAAGGAAGGCAGCTGGAAGAGCAAGCCTCTTCCCCCTTCCTTATATTGTATGCAAGCTGCCTGCCCCAGGGAGGGTTTAGTTCTCACCCCCATAATCCCAGCTTTGGACCATGGATCAATCATAAACTCTAGAAACCCACCCCATAACTGCATGAGGCTTTGGAGGGATATCTAGACAGAAACCATAACACACAGATACAAAGAAAATAAAGAAAAGAGTTTTATTTTGGCTCATGGTTCTGGCCAAAGGTCTGAGAACTATATCCAACAATTGCCTTCTTTGCTTTCAGAGTCTTGAGGTGGCACAGGGCATCACATGGCGAGGGACAGTGAATGTTCATATGTGTGAGTGTGTGAGTGTGTGTGTGTGTGTGTGTGTGTGTGTGTGTGTAAGATCTCTTTCTCTTTGTTCTAGGGATCAAATGCAGGGCTTTGAACATGCTAAGTGTTTGCTCAACTGCTGAATTACACCCTCACCTGTTCCCCTTATAAAGCTACTATTTTTCAGTCATGGAGAGGTGATGATGTTATATAACCCTTGTCACCTTATTTTTATTAGTACATCTTTGCAGTACAGAATGATTACATTAATTGTGGGGAATGGTACATATACATAACATAATCTCAATTGATTTTTTTTGGTACCGAGAATCAGACTCAGGACCCTGTGCTTGCCAGGCAGGTGCTTGTGCCACTGAGCTGTATGGCTGGCCCCATAATCTCAACAGAGACAGAGTTTTGCCAAGTTGCCCATGCTGGTTTTGAATTTATGATCCTCTTGCCTCATCTTCTTAAGTAGCTGGAATCATACATTTTATTTATTTTATTCATCAGTCAAGGGGACATTTGGGTTGTTCCTTTTTTTTTTCCTCTTGTGAATTATGCTGCTGTGAACAATTAAGTGTGTTATGGATTGAATTGTGCCTCCTGACCCAAATGCGTATGCTGAAACTGAGCTCTCAATGTGACTGCATTTGCCAGTGAGGACTTTGGGTGGGTAACTGAGGTTACATGAGGTCGTAAGGGTGGGGCCCTGATCCAACAGACTGGTGTCCTTACAAGAGAGACAGCAGACCTCTCTGTCCGTGTATACGCATACAGGAATGGCTTGTGAGAACACAGTAGGAAGGTGGATGTCTACAAGCCAGGAGAGGGCCTGCCATGGAAATGGAATTTGCTGAGGCCTCGGTCACAGACTTCTAACCTCAGAACCGGGAGAAAATAAATGTCTGTTGTGGAAGACACTCAGTCTGTGGTATTTTGTCATAGGAGCCTGAACTAATACAATGTGCAAGTGTTTATTTCTGCTGGGTATTTCTGTAAAAGTTCTGGGTCATATGGTTACTCTGTGTTCAACATTTTGAGGAACTGCTGTGCCATTTTACATTTGCACCAGTGGTAAATGGAGGGTAAATGCAGTTTTTCTGCATCCTCCCTAACGTTTGCTACTATTCAACTTTTTTTTTTTTGAGACGGGGTCTTGCTATGCAATTCAGGCTGGCCTTGAATTCACTAATAGCCCAAGCTGGCCTCAAACTTGCAGCAGTCCTCCTGCCTCAGCTTCCCAAATGGTGGGATTACAGGTGTGTGCTACCACACTGGGCCATCTAGTCATCATTTTGATTGTATATTATAACCATCCTAGGGAACGTGGTGTGCTATTTATTGTGATCTTTATTTACATTTCTCTAATGACTAATGATGCTGGATATCTTTGCCATTTGCTTATCTTCTTTGGAGAAATGTCTAGATCCTTTGACCATTTTTCAAAACTGTGTTGTCTCTTTATTAATGAAGTGTAGAAGTTTTTATGTATTCTGGACATAAATCCCTTGTCAGGTATATGATTTCCAAATTTTCTGCCATGCTGTGAGCTATCTTACTTTTATTATTATTATTACCATTATTATTATTATTTCAACTATGCTTTTGCAATTCTGAATTGAACCCAGGGCCTTTGTACAGTGCTACATCCCTAGCCTTTTTAAAAAATGTTTTATTTTGAGACAGGGTCTTACTTACGTTCCTAACTCACCCAGGCTAGTTTGACCTTGTGATCCTTCTGCCTCAGCCTTCTGGATGTCATCACTTTCATGATGACCATTTGAAATAAAGTTTTTACTTTTAATACAGTCTAATTACTTCTCTCTTATATTTGTGCAGTATTTGTTACCTTTTGGTGTTAATATTGTATTTACTTCATAGAATAATTGGAAAATTCCATTTCTTTTTAGATGCACTGGAACAATTTAAATAATATTAGAAATACTCACTTTTTAAAAGTTGTGTGGGATTGGGGACATAGCCAATGGCAAAGCCCTTACCTAACACCCACAAGGCTCTCGATTCAATTTCCAGCACTCAAAAGAAAAAAAAGTTTTGCAGAATTCTTCAGTAAAACCATTCTTTTAGAGGTGTAAGGTAACTCTCGTCTTCTTTCATAGTGAGGATTGCCAGTTTTTTTTTTTTTTTTGTCTTTTTGAGACAGGGTTTCACTATATAGTTCAGGCCGGCCTTGAACTCACAGCGATCCTCCTGCCTCAGCCTTCTGAGTGTTGGGATTATAGGCATGCGCCACCATGCCACCACACCCAGTTTTGCCAGTTTTAATTTGTTAAATACATGGTGAAAAGTTTAAGTTACAATTTTCATTTGCTTGGTAAAGGCAACCTTTTTTTGGTGACTTTTTATTATCCTTAGGTTTTCTGCCTTTTTTTTTCTAATACTAGCTTTTAAAAAATATCAGTGTTGCTAAAGATACTCTATGTACAGAAAAGGTATCCATTAAAAATATATAACTCACTAGGCATGGTGGCACACACCCATAATCTCAGCTACTTGGGAGGCTAGTGCAGGACAATTGCAGGTTTAAAGGCCAGCCTGAGTAACTTAGCATGACCCTGCCTCAAAATAAAATAAAAGAGGGTTGGGGATATAGCTCAGGGTAGAGCACTTGCCTAGCGTCAGGGTGTCCCAGGTTTACCACCAATACTAAAAAAAATAACATATAATTCCATGTGTTTTAACGGGGAGGGAGACCCATGCTGGTGAATGTACCACTACAATCAGTATAAAAATGTTCAGATCCTTGGGATGGAGTGTAGCCATGGTTATCTAATGATAACTAGTTATCTAACTAGATCATTTATCTAACTGATCACACAGTTATCTGATGATAGCTTTACCTTCAAAGCCTTTTAGAACCCTTTACGTCAGAGTTGTAAGGATTGGATTTGATCAGATCAGCACTTCACAGAAGGGTGAAGAGAGGGTTCTAAGAAGCTCCTGGGACTTGAAGTTTCAGGAGCCCTTGAACTACTATGATGGGCGAGAACATATTCCTGCAGGCACAGCACACTGCGTAGCTGGTTGTCTGCCTCTTCTCCAAACCTGTGGGCTTTCAGAGGGCTGTTAGTCCAACCCACACTCCTCTGTTCCTGCGTGGCTCCTTCACCAAGTGACACCACCCCTGCCTTCCTGGCCAGCCCCTCACACCTGCAAGGATCACTGGGAATGCACTTTCTGAGAATCACCACTTCTGGGCCTCTCTGGAGGATTCAGCACTCCCTCCTCCTGGGGTTGGGGAGGTCTCCAGCACCCCACTATGGTGCTGGCTGGGCAGTGCTCAGCCTTCCCTGAGGCTCCGTTTCACATTCTCTCCTCTTTTCCCTGCAGGACTCAGGGTGGGGTGCATGTGCACAAGGACAGGCTGACAGTCACCTCCCCGGTCCTGATGTGGGTCCAGGTAAGCACAGGGATCCTTTGCCTCTTCTCTCCCCAGCCTGTGTGACCAGCAAGCTTAGTGATTTCCTAGGAAGGCTCCACCTGGCTGCTTATGTGAGCAGCTGTTGAGACCATGTCCTCACAGTTAAAGGACCCATGTTGTTCCCAGGGCAGGTTCAGCTCAGCTGGTGCAGCACTCACAGGCCAAGGGAGCTCACAAAGGGCTAAGGGGTGTGGGGCTAGCTGCACCTGGCAAGTCCTGCCAGAGCCAGAGCCATGCTTTCCCAGACACCTGCAGTCAGCCCTCAGGTCTCCCTTGTACCTTGAATTCTAAACATAGCTCTTGGGGTCTTAGTGCTCAGTACCCTGGATCCTTCAGCCCTGGGACTTGGACACTCAGAATGATGACGTATGACCTGACCAGCTAGGCCCGCCTCCTTAGGACCAACAAGAAAGAAGGATACCTGTGGCCAGGTCTGGTGATCCATGGGGCCACAGAGCCAGAGACGTGGGCAGTACAGACAGGCATGATAGAGCTGGGGCTGCCTCCTATTCCACAGGTACCAGAGTCTCTGGAGGCAGCCAAAGGCACACTTACTGTATTTGTCCAAAGCTTTTCTCAGTCCTCCATACCTGTTTAAACAATTCCTGTATTAAATTCTTTCTGTTAGAGATAACTAGTATGATTTCTTTTTTACTGGCCTGAACGTGGCTGTTCTTCTGGAGGATTGGGGTAAGGGGTGGACCTCACCGAGTCAGGCTGAGCCAGACCACAGGAGTTGTGGTGGGGAAGGGCAGATTGGAGGCAAGGGTCACTGCCAGGGGGTCCCAGAGTGCAGATAAGATCATCCGACAGGCCGAGGCCTTCTCTTGGGGAAGTAAACCAGGGATGAGACATATAGGCTTGAGGTTATTTCTGATTCAGGAGAATTTCAGATCTTCAGCAACCCCCAAGGCTGGCCCTGTTCCTACCTTTTCCAGCCCCTGCGTGAGGTTTGACAGGCAGGGTGCACAGTGCACAACACAGTCAGGGCCAGAAGGACTCCTCTCAACGTAAGGCAGGGACGGGGGCTCAGGCTGAGGCTAGAGTAGCTTCTCTGCTCTCAGAGAAATGTGGTGGGTTAATCTGTGCCTCCTGCTGTGACATCTTGGGGCAGTGTCAGTTCTGTAGAGCATCGCCCTCCACCCCACGCGTGGGGTCTTGTTGGACAGAAGATTCCAGCCAGGTAGCCTGAGGGCTGGAGGGAGCGGGTGGGACAGACAGCTACCCCTCCACCCATGCTGCTCAGGGGAGTCTGGGCCTGGAGCTGCTTTGATTTTCTCATCCTGAGGGCTTGGAAGTCACAAATGGGAGAAGCAAACTGAGGATTCATGGTTTGTGATTCCTTTTATTTGAAATATTTTTTGCATTGTTGACTTTTGCTTGATGAGTACCTGCCCATTCAGTTCACATGTCCTAGTGCTTAGAGGCCCGTCTTCAGGAGCGTCCCTATCTGCCCAGAGCCCTCCCGCCGGGGAAGGCTCTTGCACTGACTTCTGTTTCGAGGCTCACCTGGTTCCGGGTTCAGTGCAGTCATGGTGGACTCTTCTTCTCAGGCTCTGGACATCATCCTGGAGAAGATGAAGGCTTCGGGTTTTGACTTCTCTCAAGTCCTAGCCCTGTCCGGGGCAGGCCAGGTCTGTTTGCAGCTGCCCATCTGCCTATGGGGGGCTCTGCGGGGCAGCAGGGTGATGGCTTCTCTTGGGGCATGGTTTTTATTTTCAGTGAAAGAGCCTCCAGCCGTGTCACCTCAGACACTGTGTGACTTGCCTCCTTGCAAGAGGGTCTGAGACGGTTCTTAGGACTTAGCATTATAGAAGATGGACACTGGGTGAGAGAATGGAGTAGTGGTCCTGTTAAGGGCAGAGGAAGCATTTGACATAAGTTTATTGATGGGGTGCACTAAAGTTGCTTTTCTGTTTCCTGGAAGTAAAAGCAAAGTAAGAAATGATACTAACTCTGGGAGTAGTTTTAGTCATGGGAAAAGTAGCAAGGACAACATCAAGTGGCACTAACCGTTCCCTTAGTGTGAGACAGGTGCCACACCGCATAGCTCACATCCGGGGTCTGACTAGGCCCTGATGGTGACTCTGAGGTGGTGCTGGCCGGCATGGGAGCTCTGCCCCGGCCACAGTGCCCTGGGCTGTGTCCTTGGCCTTCCATCGCCTCTATATCCTTATCTGTTGTAGGCTCACTGTGAGGGTTAAGTACAAAGAGCAGCGCCTAGTACATAATAAACCTCATTTGAGCCTTCTCTACTGTCTTATCATCTGTGTTTGCCCGATGAAACTGAGGCACAGTGAGGCGATGTCACTTGCCCAGGATCAAGTGGCTGCCGCATAAGGAGGTCAGGACCCGTGTCAGTGTGCTGTGCAGGAGCCACCTTGCTCCTTGCGGGTCAGTCGGTCTCACGTCCTCACTGGGCAGCACATACTCTTTTACCTAAGAAAGCTCCTCTCCCCCGGACCCTCACAGGAATGTGTTGTTCTGCTTCTGTTCAACTGCACAGGGTCCCGGGTGAGCCATGCCCCTCACTGGAGCCCTAGGCCTGGCCCATCTCCTTCCTAGACATCTCCCAAGGCCTGGCACCCCACAAATACCTGAAGTGTAGTGGGTCTAGACTTAGTGCTTTCTCCTCCCTTGGGTGCTGCCCCGCTGTCCTGACTGCTTCATCTTCCCACCCATGCCCAGGGGGTCCCTGTGTCCTCTGAATTCTCATAGAACTCTGTTTCTGCTTCCTCTGTGCCAGCTCTGCCTCCCCTCTGCTGACTCAGGGCAAGGACCTGTCTCTTCCCTCTGGGCCTCTAGTGTGACCTCCCTGCCTCAGTCTACTTCTCCCTGACTCCCACAGGCCCTATCTGTCCAGCCCTGGCCATGTGACTCCTGTGCTTACACAGGCTTCACACCACCTCTGAGAGGAGCCCCTCCCGCAAAGGCTGGGTGCCAGGGCTCTGTGCTCAGGCCCCTCCTCTCCTTCCAGCCCATGCCCTGCATCCGCAGGCGCACTGCTTCGAAGGTCGCCCCCTCACTGGTGCTGCCAGGCTCTCCCCTAAAGATGCTGTCTGCACGGAGCACCTGACACCCAGACCTGTCCTGACACTCACGTCCACTCTACCCTATACCCCAGCTGGTTGGTTCTGTGTTCCCATGCCCCTGTCACTACAAGGCTTTATGTTTGTACATTTGCTTCTTTTTCCCAGACTCAACCCCATTGTCCTGAAAAATGGGGTCAGTAAATACCCTTTTCTTCTGCCCTGTCCTTGGCAAAATCAAGGCACTCAATACATGTTTGTTGAATAAATGAATGAAGTGAATGAATTTCAGGCAGTATTGCAAGCAGTACATTTAAATACAATTTTACAAAAAACACCAAGCCAGGCATAGTAGTGCATGCCTGTAATCCCAACAATCAGGAAGCTGAGGCAGGAGAATCACTTCGAATTCCAGGCTAGCCTGGGCTACATAGTGAATTTGAGGCCTGCCTGAACAGTTTAGCAAGACCCTGTCTCAAAAAAACTGAAGAATGGGGGAGCACCAAGATACAGACTTTATAATTCTTTCTTGGACTCTTCCTGCAAGTGTTGGGGTGGCAGGTTGGAGTTCTTCCCCACTTTATAGACGTGAAAACTGAGTCTCAAAAGTGATGAGCCCGGTGACTGTGAGGTGGCGGGGAAGGCTCGGGCCCAGCTCTTCGGCGTGTGTGCTGGAGTCTTTCTGGGACACCGGTGTAGACGAGTGCTTGGATTTCCCCTCTACAGCAACATGGGAGTGTATACTGGAAGGCCGGGGCCAGCCTGGTGCTGAGGAGCCTGTCACCAGAACGCCCGCTGTGTCAGCAGCTGCAGGTATGGCCAAGTGTGCTGAGCCTGAGCAATTCTGTAGATGGGTGGAAAGACCCCAGTTCTGTGACCCTCAAGTCTGGGGCTTTTACACATGGCTCAATGTCAGAGGTGGCTTTGGCAGTGGCCCTGTGCTGTGGTCTGCCCTGCCCAGGAATCTGTCTCCCTTGTGTTGGGATGGAGGCTCAGGCACTAAGGACCTTCGTCCTATGAGCCCCTTACTCTCCAGAAAGACTTTGGCTGCCCTTCGTTGCGCTCTGAGGATGCTGCCAGAAAGTGGGGCCCCTGGCTTCCCCCTCCTCTGGGTTCCAGAAGCCCCTGCAAAACCTGGCATTGCCGCAGCTGGAGGCTTTCCCTGCCGTCTCTGGTGACACCCATGGTGTTCGATGCCTCACCAATGGAGCCCTTGACCCCCATGCTGTTGGGCCTGCTGGAGGGTTTGTGCACCGTCTTGCAAGGGTACATCCTGGGCAGTGGGACCGCACCTGCTCTGACGGGCACTGTGACTTTCAGCACCTTGCCTCCTCTTTCTAGGCCTGTTTCACCCTTGGTGACTGCCCAGTGTGGATGGACTCCAGCACCACAGCCCAGTGCCGCCAGCTGGAGGCCGCTGTTGGGGGAGCCCAGGTGCTCAGCTGCCTCACGGGGTCCCGTGCCTATGAGGTGAGCAGCCCAAGGTGGCCAGGGCGGAGCTGGACTTTGTCCTCGAGCATGAGGGAGGACATAGTGGGCACCCAGCCTCTGTGAGGGTTCTGTGAGGTGGTGCGGTTCCTGCCCTGTGGAGCCAAGACTGGGCCCCTAGACCCCCGGGTCCTGGCCCTGGCTGTCCCTCCTCCCTTGGTGCACATTGCACAAGGGCGACTTCTCCCCAGTGTGCCCAGGTCAGGGAGCTCACATGGGACTGCTGTGTGGGAGTGATGACAGGCTGCATTCTCTATGCACCTGTATTACAACAGGACTCCCACTTGGGGTAGTTTTGAGATTGAAAGGAATCAGCTTGGCACACAGGTGCTGGGCCCGGTTACAGGATCTAAGTCCCAGGAGTGGCCGTGGTTGGCTGATTTGGGTTACATGATGTTCTCTGGAGTACAGATTTGGGAAACAGGGCCAACTCTGCTTAGACCACTTGAAATAAGAAGGTAGGTGGGGAGATTATCTGAGTGCCCTGTTCTGGTGCCTTGGTCAGAATTGTAAAGAGCAAGGCTCATCCTGTCCTGATGTAGGAGAGCCTGTCCCAGGAAGGCCCTGAAGTTATGTCTGTGTCCTATGGGTATAACACAATTGAATCGTCTGTTGCCTGAGTATTTGATTACCATGCACATGAAAGATTTAGAGTCCTGAATCTTGGGTATTTAGCAGATACCAAACATTTCTGGATTTGGGACTTTTAAAAGTTTTTTCTGGCTGGGCATGGTAGCATACACCTGTAATCCCACAGTTCAAGAGGCTAAGGCAAGAGGATCACAAGTTTGAGGCCAGCCTGGGCTACATAACAAGACCCTATCTCAAAAAAAAAAAAAAAAAACCCTTAAAATAAATAAATTAATAATTAAAGCTAATACTATTCCACCAAGTATCTAAAGTTTGCTTTTTTTTTTTTTTTTTTTTTTTTGAGACAAAGTCTTGCTATGTTGATGAAGCTGGCTTTGAATTCACTATGTAGCCCAGACTGGCCTCAAGCTCATGGGGATCCTCCTGCCTCAGCCTCTTGAGTGCTCGAATGGCAGGCATGTGCTACCACACCCAGCTGTTATGCTAAATTTACTTTAAGGAGTTGGTTATTCATTCTGTGTAGGATTTGAATTTCTAAGAATTTGTACTCTTTTTCCCAGCGTTTTACAGGGAACCAAATTGCAAAGATTTACCAGCAGAACCCTGAGGCCTACTTCCACACAGAGGTTGGTTCAGCATTTGTGTTCAATTGAAAGTCACAGTTGAATTCCTTTTACAATCCTTACCTTTAGCATAAATACATCTTGAGCACATTGGCTAAAAGAATGTGATGAGTAGACACTGAAAAAGATATAAAGAGGAAAAACCCTTGCAGCAGGCGCAAAGCCCTGGTTCCGTTCACAGTGTGGGGAGGCGGGGTAATGATATCTGATTACGTGTTGGGCGATGCTTCCATGCTTATGGAGTTACATACACATGGTGGTCCTGTCAGATTATGGTAGAGCTGGGGGTAGGGGTGGAGCTGAGTGTCAAAGCACTTACCTGGCATGTGTGAAATCCTGGGTTCCATCCTCAGCAGTGAAAAATAAAAAGGATTATAGTCAAGCTGAAAAATTCCTATTGCCTATTGACATCACAGCCGTACTAATGTCATAGGGCTGTATTCACATTTATGATGATGCCAGTGTAAATAAACCTACTATGCTGTCAAGGATATGGAAGTGTTATTTTTTCACTTTGTTTTAATTTATTTTTATTAGTACATGAAGTGCATAACGATTACATTCATCACGGGGAGTTTGCACACACACACATTACACATCTTAGTTCTATTTACTTTCCCTTCCCTTCTCTTCTCTCTCCACTCCTATCTCTTAGTTCCCTTTCTATTTGCACAATATCTATTTCCCTGTTTCTTATTATCTATCTCTTAATTTGCTCTTTAAATTATTTATACTTTGGGTTTCTCATATAAGAGAAACCATGTGACATTTAAGCTTGTGTGTCTGATTTATTTCACTTCACATTATTGTCTCAAAGTGAATTCATTTTCCTACAAATGCCTCAAACTCATGCTTTCTTATACCAGAGTACTACTCTGTTGTGCATAAATACATTTTCTTTATCTATTCATCTGTTGATGAACATATAGGCCACACAAGGTCTGCATGTATCACTGTAATAAAATATTTTTAACTCTTTTGGAAAAATACCTAGAAAGAGAATAACTGGGTCAAATGGAATTTCTAGTTTTAGTTTTTTGAAGACTTTCCATACTGATTTCCATAGCGGTTGTACTAGTTTACACTTCCACCAACAGTGGAGAAGGGTTCCTTTCTCCCAACAGCTGCTCCAGCATTTGTTGTCTGTTGATTTCTTGATGATAGCCATTCTTTCTGGGGTAAGATGGAATCTCAGTGTTGTTTTAATTTGCATTTCTCTAATGGCTAATGATGTTGAATATTTTTTTCATGTATGTGTTTGGCCATCTTCTGATACGTGTCTGTTCATTTCAATTGCCAACTTTTTATTGGGTCTTTTATTTTGGGGAGGTCTTATTTTTTTGAGTTCTTTATATATTATAGAAATTAATCCTCTGTCTGAGGCATACCTGACAAAGATTTTTTTCCCCCATTCTGTTGATTCTTTCTTCATTCTGTTGGTTGTGTGCTTTGTTGTGCAGAATTTTTTTCATGAAGGTGTTATTTTGAGTTTCTGATGTTGGTTGGTTTTTTTTGAAAACTTGATGTTAGATAATCTGAAGATATCAAAACTGTGCTTGTATAAGGTTATAAAGTCAATGTCTGGTAATCTGAGCAATTACTTTGAAGATAATAATGTGCAGTATAATAACCATTGTTAATTTCCTATCATCTTTTTTTGAAATTCTGTATAATTTTTAGTTTTTTTATTCTCTTTAAAATAAAAAAAAATTTAAAAAGAATACAAAGGCAAAAAAAAAATCTCTACCTTTTCTGTGTTTAGATACACAAATGCCACTGTTATAACCACCTGCAGTACTCAATGCGTTGATGAGCTATAGAGGTTTGCAGCCTCAGAGGCTGCAGCAGGCTGCAGGCCATGGCTAGGTGTGCAGTATGCTACACTGTCCAGCTTTGTGCGCGTCTGCTGCGGTTCACAGTGGTGACATGGCCTGCTCATGCAGTTCTCAAAAGGTATCCTGGTCATTGAAGATATAGGCATTTTTTTTTTTTTTCTTTTTGGTACCGGGAATCAAACTTAGGACCTTGTACTCGCCAGCCAGGCACTTATGCTGCTGAGCTATGTCCCAAGCCGGTATTCTGGTCATTGAGTAGTGCATGAATGTTCAGTTTGCCTTTCTCTTGTCAGCTGTTTCCAAAGAGGAGGGAGGAATTGAGTTGCGGGAAGGAAAAGTCAAGGGCTGCCATGACCAGAAGGGTGAAGGCAGAGGTCAGGGTGGAGGTGGGGCCTGGTGTCTCCTGAGACAGAGGAGGCGATGCGGTGTCCTTTCGGCTCTGTGTCCTCACACTCCTGTGCGTGCAGGACAGGAGCAGGCACTTGACTGGCGTGGGTCAGGGTTTCTTTGGAGGTGGGCAGAGATGGGCCTTTGTGTACCCGGCTGTAAGCCTTCATCCAAGCCTGCCTCACAGAACCCAGCTTCCTTTATGGCTGCGTAGCTGCTGGAAGCCAGCGTGTGATGTTGCTAGAGAAGTAGCTTCATTCCCTGGATAGTAACTGCATTTTCTAACAAGAAAATGATAAACTCACCTTAAACCCCAGGGCCTGTTTTGTTTTTTCTTTACCATACTGGGGATTGAACTCAGAGCCTCACAGATGCTAGTCAAATGTTCTATTACCTAGTCACATTCCCAAACCTTTAAAAAATAATTTTTAATAATACTTTTAGATAATTATTTAATATTAGTGTATATTAATCATACAGATTACTGGGTTTTATTTTGCCTACCTTCCCCTCTTTTGAGACAAAGTCTTCCTAAATTGAGCTTGCGGTCCTTCTGCCTCAGCCTCCTAAGTAGCTGGGATTACAGGTGTGTACCATTGTGTCTGGACAGAGCTATATTTTTAATCCTAGAAATTACCATGTAGTTTATTATTATTATTATTTTTTTTTTTTTTTTTTTTGTCTTTTTGAGACAGGATCTCGCTATGCAGTTCAGGCTGGCCTTGAGCTCACTTTGTAGCCCAGGCTCATCTCAAACTTGCAACAGTCCTCCTGCCTCAGCCTCCCAAGTGCTGGGATTACAGGTGTGCGCCGCCGCGCCTGGCTTGTAGTTTATTATTTAATGAGTCAAGATTACACGTTGTTCTGCAGCATTAATCTATGAGGAGTAAAAACTCTTCCCAAATTCTGTGTGTAGAACACAAGTGACCTGCTAGGGAGAGGAGACGGGAGCACTGTCCTTATGAGTCTCAGAGCCCGTGGTGGGTTTATGGGTGCACAGACCTGCAGGGTGATGTTTCAACTCCCTCGGTGACTTCTCTGGCGTGTGATTGGGTTCGAGGACTTCTGAGAGGCAACTTTCACTTAAATTTTCTGCACAAAGTGCTCTCTCCAGAAATTAGTTCTTGGAGTTCTCACTGCTCGTATCTAGGTTACTCAGTCTCCATCATTACTTTGGCATTTTCCTGAAAGTTTCCACTTTCCTCCCCAGGCTCTCTTCAAAGCTGGCATGGTAGTGCATGCCTATAGTCCTAGCCCTCGGGAGGTTGAAGCAGGAGGAATGCAAGTTCAAAGCCAGCCTGGACTACTTAGCAAGATCCAATCTCAAAAATAAAATAAGTAAATAAGTATAATAAAGGAAAATGAACCAGAACTCTCTTCACATTGTATGCATGGTCAGAAACATTTAGTAGCTTAGGGTATGTGGAAAAAAGTCATCTCTCACTATGTTTCTGTTCCAGAGAATTTCTTTGGTCAGCAGCTTTGCCACCTCCCTCTTCCTCGGCTCTTACTCCCCGATTGACTACAGTGATGGTACGCTGCCGGGTGGGCGGGCACTCCTTCCACTGTGTGTGGGCAACGACAGCCCCATCCACCCTGGGTAGGTGCTGACCATGCAGCTCTGATTTGCCAAGAAGAGACAATATTAGTTATCTTTTGCAGTGTCACAGTGACTTAGCAGCCAAGGGCCACAAATATTTATTTTCTCTCACAGTGCCAAGGGTCAGGAATGTGAGAGTGGCATGGCTGGGCAGTACTGGCTCGGGATCTCAGGAGGTGGCAGCAGGCTGGCCGCAGGGCTGCTGTTAACCAAGGCTCCACTGGAGCTGGAGGACCCGCCTGCAGGATCCTGTGTGTGACTGTTGGCAGGTGGCCTCCTGTCCTCGCCACGTGGCCCCTGCAGAGCTACTGATGACACTGTGGGCAGGGACAGGCGAGCAGAAGCTGCAGTGTTTTCCACACTAATCTTGGAAGTGACAGGCTGTCTCTCGGCTTCAACCTGTGGGTCACACGGAGTAGTGTGGTGCCAGGGACCTCACAACATGTGAGCATCAGAAGCCCGGTTCCTGCAGGGAGCTGTTTATTGAAGTTTCTGTTCTTACGTACTGAATTAGGAGAGTAAACCTGAAGTAGCCAGAATGCTCTTTGCACCTGCCCTGGGGCTGCTCACACTGCTGGGCGGTCACAGCCTTGCTCCAATGGACACTGGGGTTCCTGTTCCTTAGCCACAGGTAGGCCCTTGACTCTGCTCCCTACCTTCTCCCTGGGAACTCACAAGAGTTCTGGGCCACCAAGGAGTTTGAGTCTGTAAGGAATGGTTGGGGGGCCTTCTGCCTTCTGGTTCTCTGCTCCAGGAGGACGTGGTGTGTTGCACCTAGCTATGAGGGGAGACCCAGGTGTGAGTTAGTGTGGAGGGAATTATCTCTGTCTGCCAGTTTTCACCAAAGGCTCTTTCTTCCAATGATTCTATTTTTTATTCCTTCCTTCCTCAGGTTCTGGAATGAATTTGTTGCAGATCCAGGAGAAAGTCTGGTCCCAGACTTGCCTCAGTGCCTGTGCTCCTCATTTAGAGGAGAAGCTTGGCCCCCCAGTGCCATCTTGCTCAGTGGTGGTAGGTCCCCTCTCAGCGACAGGTCTCCTGTCAGCGCTGGCAGCCGCCAGAAGCCCTGAAGTGCATCACACACATGTCCGTCTGTCAGTCACACACAGCCATGCACGGGGTTGCAGGTTAGTCTAAGGCAAGTGTTTGACAAAAGTAAAGGATATATATCAGCGCCTTGCACATAGCAGGGCTCAGGCGCATGTATAGATTCCAGACTCATGGTGAGAGGGATTTCTGGGTGATTGCACACCTAAGGAATAAATATACCAAAGGCTGACCTTCTAGGACAAGGAGCCACTGCTGAAGGTACTTGGGTCTGAGGTACATAGAAAGCATGGGAATATCAGAGAGCCTGGCATAACACAGGCCCTGATGCCAGACTGTCTAGGACTGAGTCCTGGCTCTGCCACTAACTGCATTGATTTAATCTCTACCTCAATTTCCTCACCTGGAGCAATAGGAATAATTGGTCAATTGTAATAAATTTAAGTGCTTAAGACAGTGCCTAGTGGCTTGGGTAAATGAAAGACACGTGACCATCAGTGTCCGTTTGGAATGGACACTGGCGGTGAACAACCAGGCGTGCCCTGATTGGCCTATCCTGTCCTTGGCTGTCCCAGGGAGGTAATGGAGTAGAAAGAGAGCTGGGCCTTGCCACTGGGCCCTTTGGTGGGTTGCAGGTGCCACACAGCCAGAACAACCAAGCGAAACTATGGGGGAGAGGATGGGTGTGAAGGGAGGAGAAGAGGCCCCCAGGGCTGGGGAGAGCTGTGGAATCGGCCACAGGAATGGGGCTCTTGTGAGTACCCGCTGGGAATCTCAGCCCCTCAATCACTTTTCTTCTAAGGTGTGATTCTCACTGATAATGCTGAAACTGCCTTTGGCATCATAAGGCAGACTATCAAAGCAAAACCATCATCATCAAAAAACCATCATCATCAAAGTATGCCATGGAGCCCAAGGAAGAACAGTTCTGCTGCAGAGAAGCTGGTAGGGCAGGGCCCATGTGCCTGAGGAGGTGGACAGACTGTGCACTTCAGAAAGACAAGAAGGGCATGCAGAAAGCAGCCATGCCCCGGGGGTTGGGGGCCGTTCATGCACGGCTGTTTGTTCCTGTGAAGCTGGGTCATGTTTTGCCCAGGGCAGCAGGCTTTTACCAAGAGTATGTGCCTCCAAAGAGCCTAGGAGAGGTGAGCTCTGGAGGAAGTGGAGAGAACCGGCGGGCAAAATTGCATTTCCATTTGATCCATGTGTATCGCGTGGTGGGGAAACAAGCAAGAGCCCTATTTTAAATGGTCACCTCATGTTTGAAGGTAGCAGGCACCACATAGCTGTCTCTCATTTTCTTCAGCAAAATGCCTGAAGATGTGTGTTGTACCAGACCCTTCTCAAACCCTACCTTGCATCTTCGTGGCCAGCCTTCTTGTCAGCTCTTGCGGCTTCGCACAGGCGTCACCTGGCAGGCCCTGTCTGACTTTGATCTCCTCGCTTTCCACTCTGGGGCTTCTGACTGCATCTGTGCTCTGTGACCCTGCAGATGCGGGCTGTGCACAGCCCACAGGACACGTCACCAGTTGCTGCCGTGACGGTGTTCGCTCAGCATGCCCTGCTTCCTGCTCACCCTCCCCACCCCTCACTCCTGTCTCCTAGCGTCACTTCCCTAGCTGAGCCAGCTCCGTGTGAGCCCTAGATCAGGCTCTAAGTTCCAAGGCAACCTAGGCTGAGACATTTATTCTCCCAGGAGATAGGGATGGCTTGTTCTGATGAGAACCTCTCAAATTTTGTTGGCTGAAGCAAAATTTTCCTCCCAGACATCAGGATGTCCTATCATTTATTTTAAATTTTTGGAACTAAAATATAGTCAGGAAGAAAAAAAGTTTTGTTTCTTTTTCATAACTGCTTTGTTAAGAATATGGATCTGTCCAAGGAATGTCCTGCATTCTGATCCCACAGCCTCTTACAGAGGGGCCTGTGGTCTATGGCTCCTGGATGGGTCCTCTGCCCCAAACTGACGGTTTTTGGTCTATTTTCTTTGGAACATTGTTCTCTGCACTTGTGAGTCTGATTGTCCTTATCTAGTGGTTGGGATGATAAATGGGTGCTTGAGGCATACCTGCTCCCTTGAGTTTACTTATTGGTGTACTGTTACTTTCTTTTTATGTTTTTATTTTTCCAGTGCTGCACCCAGAACTTAGAGCTTACAAAAGCAGGCTCAAGTTGGAGATTGTTTTGTTCTCTCTGCCCTTAATCTGGAAATCAAGTGGCCTCTGGGATGATCTCATGCTGTGGCTCCAGTCCTGCTCGGGGTGCCTCTGGCAGTTTTGAACCTAAGGGATGTGCCTAGGTTGTGACAGGGATCCTCACTCCTCCAGGCTCTGCAGAAGGCTCCTGCAGTTCCAGTGACCTGGAGCCTGAGTGTTGCTGAGGTGGAGACATTGCCCTGAGCGGGCTAGATTTACCTTAGCAGGGCACTTGCTTTTCCTCCTCAGGGAGCCATTTCTTCCTACTACATCCAACGCTATGGATTTACCCCTGGATGCCGAGTGGTGGCCTTCACTGGGGACAACCCGGGTGAGTGCCTGGGGCCCACTGGTTCTTGTGGACTTTGGAGAATTCCTGTCCAGCCTCTTGGCTAGGGTGGTGTTCCCTTTCCTTTCTGAAATCTGACTCCTTGTCCCTACTCCTTCTTGGCCCTACCACCTTCAGGAGCTGCTCCCTGCTGGTGACAGCTGAGGAGAGTTAGAGCAGGCAGGCATGCACCTCACTCAGCCCTTCCTGTTGCTGCAGGACCCCTCTGCTCCACTCTTCCTGCAGGGCATGGTTCTGTCTGCCCTGTTATCTGATCTGTAAATATGCCTTGTTTCCTGTCCAGACACCTTGTCGCCTTCCCTGGCCTTTTCTCTTCTCCTCCAGGGGCTCCTGAGGTCCTCAGGTCTCTCAAGAAGGGCCAGGTGAGCAGTTCAGCACACTGCCTGCTGCCCCCACCTTAAACCCTAAAAAGCAATCCTTTTCCTAAAGAGCCACAAGGGAGGGTTAAAATTGTGGTGCCTCAGTGCCAGGCATGGTGGTGCATGCCTGTAATCCTAGCACTCGGGAGGCTGAGGCAGGAGGATTACCATGAGTTTGGGGCCAGCCTGGACTACATAGTGAGTTCAAGGCCTGCCTGAACTATATGGTGAGACCCTGTCTCAAAAAAAAGTGCTGCCTCTGCTTGCAGTTTTCTTTCTATGCTCATAGATAAGCATTGTTTCTTGTTTTGCTGTTGTTTGGTAACACTGTGGATTGAATCCAGGGCCTTAACACTGAGCTACGTCCACAGGCCTTTTTGTTGCAGCGGGGTGGTGTTACTGGGGCTTGAACCTAGGGCCTTTGCACCGAGCTGCATCCCCAGCCCTTCTTTAATTTTTATTTTGATAGATAGAGGGTCTTGCCAAGTTGCCCACGCAGGGCTCCAACTTACAATCCTCAGCCTCCCAGAGTGCACCTTATTTCTTCTGATGTACCTGGGCAGCCCCTCTGCAGGTGGTGTGGGGCTCTGCTGTGCCAGCTCTTGTTCATGGGTTCTCTCTGCATGGTGGTGGCATTGCTTCCAGTGCAGGGGCAGTGCAGACAGCTTTAGCTGCACCTCTCGTCTCATCCCTTCATCACTGCAGGATAAGTTTGCTGAAGTGAGGTCCCTGGATCCAAGGCCTCTGACAGCCACTGCCGACTGAATGTCACCGGTGGAGTTTGAGTGTTACTTCCTTCCCCGATTCTCCTTCACTCACTTGTGCATTTAGTGAGTGCTTGCTGTGTGCCAGGAGTTCTTTTGCTAAGCACATCAGCGAACAAGGCAGATAAAGATCACTGTGTGCTTCATGTCTAAGGCAGGGGACAGTTGGCATAACCTCCTCCCTTTCTCTATGCACTGCTGGATAGGAAAGCCCCTTTTGCTCCCGCCTAGCATGCTCCATGCTTAGTCTGTCTCTGCCTGTGCATTTTTCACCTCCTGTCCTGGCCCTCTTGGTTCCCTGCATGTCTGAGTGCCTGATGGTAGAGGGAGGTTGCACCCTTTAAGGAAGAGACTCCTTGGCTTAAATTATAGCCCTGACTGCAGACTCCAGCCTCAGCCCTGTGATCTTCCAGGCCTCCTGAACCCTCATCTGGCCTGGTCCTATGGGCTGGGTGGGAGGCGGAGACCGTGCTGCTGTCTGGAACATGCTGCGGTTTGCATCGTGGGTTCCCTGAGGGCTCTACCTAACCAGAGCCTCCCCTTCATTTCTCAGCGTCGCTGGCAGGCATGAAGCTGGAGGAAGGTGACATTGCGGTAAGGTGGCTTCTCATACCAATGGGCTCTTTCTGCACTGGGGACCAGGGTGCTGGGTCTCAGCAGCACTTTGCTCCTTCTTTAGAAGTCTGCTGAGGGGCTGGGGGTTTAGCTCAGCGGCACAGTGCCTGCCTGCCAAGCACGAGTTCGTGGGTTCGATTCCCAGTACTGGGGGTGAGGGGAAGTCTGCTGGTCCCACAAAGGCTGGTGTCCCACATCTCCTGCCTTAGGAGCTTTGCCGAGCAGGCAACTTGGTGGGTCCATGGGCAGAGGGCCAGACATGTGGCCAGATGGCAGTGAGCTACTCAGGTGAGCAGGAAGACATAGCCCATGTCTTCTGCATCTAATAGGGAGATCATTTGAAGAGCCAGTTGCTACCTAGACCATTCTTTCAATGCAGTAGTAATCCATCCTAGAAAGTCAGTAAAGGAACCCCCAACAGCCAGAATCTGGGCTGACTTTGGACTCCTCTGGTGTGGGAGGGTCAGAAGAGGCGCCTAAGGAAGTGGTGTTTCATCTGAGGCGAGCAGGGAAGTGATAAGATTTTAAAGAAGGGCAGCGCAGAGTGTGCTACTAGCAGAAAGGAAGTGTTTGCAGGCAAAGCCCAAGCAGCTCCCTCTGCCCTTCTTTCCCCAGGTCAGCCTGGGCACCAGCGATACTCTGTTTCTCTGGCTTCAGGAGCCCTCGCCTGCCCTAGAAGGCCACGTCTTCTGCAACCCAGTTGAACCGCAGCACTACATGGCACTCTTGTGGTGGGCGTGGATGTGGTTGGCACAATTCCTGGGTAGAGGGAAGGAGGTTTGGGCAAACCAGGCACCATCTTGAGCATTCCGGTTCTACTAAACAGACCCCACACCCAGTATGGGCACCTGAGACCCCAGGGACCGACCACTCTGCTGACAGTGGAGCTGAGTGGGGCAGATCCAAGACCTCAGACCCCCTCAGCCCAGGACCACACATTAAACACCACCACCCTGTCCTGTGGGGGCTGGGCAAACCCTGAAGCGTATCTAAACTATACTTTCCTCACAAAATGGAGAGAAGAGGGTTTACTTCATGGTAATGTGACATGTCGGCTCACGTCAGACCCTTAGCAAGTGGCAAGAACGATGTCCTGCTTCCTGACAGCTCTCACAGGAGACTGTGTGCTCTGTGCTCTGACCTGTGCCCTCTGCCTGGGACTCTCCGAAGACTTGTGGGCCCAGTGTTCAGAGTTGTGTGCATTTCCGCAGCTTTAAAAATGGCTCCCTCATGAGAGAGAAGATCCGTGATGAGTCTGCTTCCCATTCCTGGAGCGAGTTCTCTAAGGCACTGCGGTCCACGGAGATGGGGAATGGCGGCAACCTGGGTAGACTGTCTAGAGATACCTGGGCCTGGGATGGGGTGGCGGCTGCCTGCGGGAGGGGCACGGTCTGGGCCCATGAGCTGGGTCAGAGGAGGGCAGTGGGGATGCCTAGGGCAGCCCTGCGGCCTATACTTCTACTCCCGGGCTGGACAGTAGCTGTATCTCTGTCCCCTTGAATCCCCTGGTGACAGCATCAGAGACAGCAGCTGCAGTATCTGCTTCTTTAGCCTCTGTTGGGAAAGGCACCCTGGGCCTGGCAGGCTTTCGGAGCAGGCTGGGAGCGCCCTCCCATCACCAAACCTGCCAGTGGTTTAGGATTGGTGGGGTAGCTGCTTCCTCCTCTGGCCTCTCAAGCAGAAGTAGAAAGGGTAATCACTAAGCAAAGTTATCCCAGGCCTTTGGTTCCCTCTGTCCTGTTGGAGAGAAGGAACAGACATTCACAGGGCTCATCTGGGGGACAAGAGGAGGCCTGGAGCATGGATCCAGGTCAGTGGTGGTGAGTGGCAAACCTCTCTCATTCGTGCCATAGCCAGCTGTTTGTTATCATGGGAAGCTCTAAAAGGTTCACCGCCACTGATATAGGTCATTTCACCGTTTTCTAAGTCTGTTGAGAAGCAGGTGATCTTTGTTTTTGACCTCTCGTCTTTCCCTGGTTTTGTTTCAGGTTTTTATTTTGATGTAATGGAGATCACCCCTGAAACCATTGGATGTCACAGATTTAATGCAGAAGACCATGAGGTGTGTATGTTATTGATATTAGAGCTACACTGACTCCAGTTTTGTTTTAAATTTAATGGTCCCCTATCAGTAATGCTTCTTCTAGGGACTTCATCCACTTGTCTACTTGAAACCCTTTGGGTGTGCAGTGCTCCTTCTAGAGGCATGGGAGTTAGTGGGGTCTCCCCAGGCCTCCCTCTCCTACTCACGAGGAGGATGCTGTCTGAGCTAACAGCTGTTCGTTTTCCCTGAATGTCTCTATTGTCCCACAATACTCCTTGGTGAGCTGCAACCTACGTTAACCGACAGCTCCCAGATCTCAAGGTCAGGAATTTCTACTTGGAGAAAGAGCCTCCAGGACAGAGACACTTATGAGCACTGTTTGGTCCCAGGCTCTGTGCTTGTGGTTTTTCATACCTTCCTCGTTTACTTCTCAAATCAATTCTGTGATATAGGCATGACCAGCGATGGTGAACCTTTTATGTTTTTCATTTTGTTTTGTTTTACTTTGTTTTGGTTTTGGTTTTCTGAGACAGGATCTAGGCTGGTTTTGAACTTACTCTGTAGCTCAGGCTGGCCTTTGAACTCTCAATGGTCCTCCTGCCTCAGCCTCCCAAGTGCTGGGGTAACAGGCGTACACCATTACACCCAGCTTGCACCATCACACCCAGCTGATGATGAACCTTTTAGAACTATTTTGAACTGCAACCCAAAACCCACTTATTTATTACAAATTGCCAAGACTACAATTTAAGCTGAATACTAAGGTTTCAGACACTCAGACAATGAGTTTGAAATAACTCAGACTCTTGGTTCACCTGTCAACACAAAGTGCCCTGCGTGCCCACTGCAGCATGTGTGCTGTACGTTCGCTACCATTGGACATGACTGTCCCTCTTTACGGGTGGAGACACTGAGGCCTCACCTTCATGATCTACCCAGAGTCACAAGGTCTCAAGCAGTGGGAGGGGCTTGGACATGATCTTCTCTGGGTGAAAAGCCACTGTCTTCCTCCTTCTCCGCCGTGTGTTCCCCTTGTCCTTTGGAGGGGGAGGGTCAGTCAATTCTTGGGTTGACTTTCCTGATGTCCCCAAAGTCATCACCAGATGTTTGTGACTGCAGTAAATACAGGGGAGCATCTGCAAGGTGCTTTATCTGGTCACTTCAGGGTCAGGTGGCCCTGGATCTGGTGACTGGCATGGCATTGTGTGTTGAGTTAAATGCAAAGCTCTGTATGGAGTGTCGGGAGCGTGTGTTGATCCTCTGATAGCATCAGTCTGGTTTCTGTTGTTGGAGAAAGTATCTTCTTGAAAGAAGATACTGTATACTTTATGCCTGGTCTTTTTTTTTTTTTTTTTTTTTTGTTTTGTTTTTTGAGACATGGTCTCGCTGCTCTCTTGTTCAGGCTGGCCTTGAACTCATTGTATAGCTGAGGCTGGCCTCGAACTCAAAGTGATCCTCCTGCCTCAGCCTCCTGAATGCTGGGATTGCAAGTATGTACCAGCACACCCAGCTGCCTGCTCTCTTTGATATACATAAGTTGTAGTTTTTCAAGGAGAAGGTGGTGGTGTTCATTCATTCACTCATTCAGCATATAGGTATGATAGGCACCAGCTCCGCAGGGCCCACAGTCCGGAAAGGAGAAGGACAGAAAGCAAGTAAACAAACAGATGCACTGTAGTGTGTGATGTGACTGGGAAGGAGAGTGAGGGCTGGACTGGTGCAGGCCCAGGGACTGACTGGTGCAGGCCTCTCTGGGGAGGGCCTAAAGCTGAGCCCTCCAGCCTGGGACAGAGCTCAACATGGGAAGAGTGGCAGACTCTCGGTGGGCCAGTAAGCTTAGAGGAGCTGGTGAGGGCGGGCTCTGGCCTTGGTCTCAGGTCCTGGAGAGGCATGCTGAGCCTAGGGGTGGTGCCCATCAGCGCTATCCTAAAGGATCTTCCACAGTGGGGTACACAGCATAAGCTCTAGGCTCTTACTGAGCAAGTTTCAGCTACACACTGGGCTCTGTTGTTTAATTTCTGAGAAATGGAGGCCACTGTGATCTCTGTTTTGTTAAGAGAGAGAATGGCAGTCAGCAAGATTTGCATAACATATTCCAGGTCACAGGCCATTTCGAAACCCTCAGGTGCCTGAGGCTGAGCTCTACAATGCAATGAATTCCCCCAAGTAGTGTATTGTGAAGCTGTGAGCTTGTGTGTATGAGTTATGTATCAAAGAGGCAAGCTATGAGCTCCAAATCTGGGCTGTTATTTAAGAAAATATCACACACATACAAATGGACAGTGAACATTCCTGACTATGTGTCCCCGTTTTCCTGAAAACAGGTCCCAGCATTCCCTGGGGATGTTGAGATTCGAGCCTTGATTGAAGGACAATTCATGGCCAAGAGGATTCATGCAGAAGGCCTGGGCTATAGAGTCAGTAAGTGAGCTCCTGGCAGGATATGTTCTGAGCTGGGGGCCCAGGGCTAGTGGGGCCCTGTCTGTTAAGACTCTGTTGCAGGGGTCTTTACCTGGAGGGAGGTGGAGCCTGGCCCAGTTGAGTGTAAGCAGGTGATTTGCTGACACCTGTGGACAGGTGTGGAAGAGCCAGGTAGCCTGCTCCTCAACTCTGCCCCAGTAGCCTGAGCTCTTGGCCGGAACTGTGTGGCTCTGGAGAGGGAGGTCTTTCTGTCACCCTGAGCTGGCTACGGGCTAACTGTGCTGAGCTCTGCACCCAGGGACCTGGGCAGTGAAGGTGGGAAGGATCTGGGACAATGATTGGGCCATTTGGCTTGGACTGGAAGAATGGGATAGGGTACCGCCCTCAGAACTCAGAGAGGGCAGACCAGGGCAGACAAACAGGTTCTGAGACCTGGAGCTGTGGAACAGGCAGTTTAAGGAGGTCAGTGAGTTTCCCTGACTGATGGCATTTGAGTGGTCTGGGTGCCAGGGAGCTGCACTGGCCAGCCGCCAAGGTCAGGCTTCTGAGATGTTTGTGCATCTGAATGACAGCTTCTGTTCCTAGAGAAGCCCAAAAACCTCTGCTGCCTCTTCGCTCCAGGGCCTCTTAGGATCCTTTTATGGGCAGTTCAGGTTTTATGTGAGATATGTTTTATATATGTTTTAGGAACTTTATGGGCAGTTCAGGTTTTATGTGGGATATGTTTTATTATGTCTTTGTACCAAGCAAGTAAAAGGATACTATGAGAATGAGCAGCGGGCAAGCCTCTTGGAAAACCTGTTAGACAGCATCTCTTGGGGCTGAATATAGCCTTGCAGCAGCCGCACTTGTACAGAAATGCACAGCGGAAATGTAAACATGTCCACTAAGATGTGCACAGGAACATCCCCTGTCCTGTCTGCTCTGTGTTAACAACCCCACACTGAAGCAGTGTCGCACCTGTTAGTAGACAGGACAAGTGCACTGTGTTGAGCCCAGATGACAGGACACTCCATGGAAATGAAAATGAACCGGCCTGGACTATGTGCATCAAAATTGGTAAAGCTCACAAATGTAACGCTGGGTGAGAGAAGCCAAACATGTAGTGCATGTGGCAAGGTTCTGTGTGCATTAGAGGCAGAACACGCAGAGCCATTCGCTGCTGTCGGAATCGGGACAGGGTGCGAAGTCAGCTTTCAGAAGGGGGCCTGAGAGGGCGCTGGTGTGTTGGCAGGGTTCCTAGTCACGTTACACAGTTGTACCTGTGAACATTTGTCACGTTATAGGCTGATGGGATGTGTATACTTTTTCAGGATGTATGTTCTAGGTCAATACAAATTTTAAAATAAAATCAATACTATGCACCTTCCTGTTTCCCTGATATACAACCCTAGAAGTTTAAGAAGAAATCTGAAGATCTCTAAAGCCTTCAGAGTTCCCTGAGAAATGAGACTGGGTGAGCAGGGCAGGGATGATGGCTAAGTGCTCTGAGTGCTTGGCAGGAGTCCTCTGGGTTGTTGGGAGAGGAGGAGCTGTCCCCAGCAGAGAGAGCCGCAAAAGGAGAGGGAGATAGACAGAGAGGCAGAGAAAGATAGACAGACACACAGGGAGAGGAAGAGAGGGAGAGAGAGAGTGCAAGTGAGCTAGGAACAATCTGTACCCCTCAAGGGCCTGTCCCACCTCCAGCTTCCTCCAGCCAAGCCCCACCTCCTTCCATCTTGGCACCTCCGGCAGTCACCTCATGTAACTCCTGAGTTCATCCGGGGAAACCCGCTGGTGAGGTTCGAGCCCTCGGGGTGCCGTCTCCTACCGGAGAACACTGCTGTACTGGGGAGCAAGCGGCCCCCACATGAGCTTCTGGGGCATGTCAGATCTAAAACATAGCAGTGGGGCATGAACACATGGATTTAGTGAGATGCCCGTGCGTCCTGTGCGTGATCTAAGCTGGAGTGTCCCCTGCGGCCTCTTTTCAGATGCTGCATAAAGGAGCGCTCTGCATCCAGATTCCTTCTCTGATGAGTGGCCCTGGGGGCTGTCTCTCTGTCCGCCCTGGGGGTCAGTGTGACTGCGAGTTGACCTCTTTTGGGCCCACTGCCCCACCCTACCTCACCTTCTCTAGTGGGCGCTTTTCCATCTTGGTGGGAGGTCAGCTCTGCTCAGCACAGGGCTAGAGGGAAGGGCTGAGTCTCTTGCTCCTCTCAGGTCAGCAGTGTGCTCCATTCCTCACTGGCGCCCAATCTTTGCCGGTCGAATGGTATCAGCTGATAACTCCGCGAGGTTTCTTTTGTGTCTCTTTCATTAATAATGAGTTTGAACCACTCTTTGTAACTTTGATTTCCTCCTCTGTGAATTGGTTGTTTATATCCCTTCCCATTTTTCTGTTGGATTGTCTTTTTCAAACTGATTTGGAGGACTTTATTGTGTGCTTTAAATAGTAGGCCCTTGTCGGCTTTCTGTATTGCAAACATCTCTCATTTGTTTTTAAGAGTAAAATTCAAAGCTGGGCGTGGTGGTGCACGCCTGTATTCCCAGCACTTGGGAGGCTGAGGCAGAAGGATTGTTGTGAGTTTGAGATCAGCCTGGGCTACAAAGTGAGCTCAAGGCCAGCCTGAACTACATAGTGAGACCCTGTCTCAAAAAGACAAAAAA